ACATGAGTCAGGGCTCTGTTCTTGGCCACACAAGCATGCCGCACCGCATCCGGCCAAAAGCAATTGGGTAGACCGGCTTCAATGAGAAATCCCCGAGCCGTCTCCGTGAGTGTCCGATTCGCACGCTCGGCGATGCCGTTCATTACGGGAAAGTAGGGCATGGTAAGAGAGTGCCTTATGCACTGCTTCTTCAGCCAAGTTGAGAAGTCCTTGCTCAGGAACTCTCCCCCCCGGTCAGTGCAAATCGCCTTCACAAGCCGGTCTTGTTGCCGCTCCACCATCGGCAACCAATCGGTCTTCACCGTTTCAGCTACGTCACTCTTCTTGGGCAGCACATACACCCAAGTCATGCGAGTGTAGACATCCACTATAGTGAGGAAGTACTCAGCTCCAGCAGCTCCAAGCTTCAAGGGGCCCACCACATCCATCACCACCTCGTCAAGTGGTGCCTTAGCCGTTGTCTCCGAGCTATGGAACGGGTAGCGGGTGAACTTGGCTTGCATGCATGTTGGACAGCCAAGCACCTTATTGGGCTCCCCCTTGACACGTATCCCACTGACCATGTCTTGCTTAACAATCTGCTGCAAAATGGGCAATGCCACATGCCCCATTCGCCGATGCAAGGTCAACCAATCACACTCTCCCGTAGCGAAAGTCGGGTTGGAGAAAGCAGCACTTGCAATCGTGCCCCACAAGCTCTCTCCTTTCTCCTTCGCCGCTGCTGCTTTGCTGATCTTAGGCTTCTCCTCCTCATTTCCACCACCTTTGGCTGCTGCACCACTCTCTTTGGGTTCACACGCCTTGCTGGTCTCTCTGAGATTGCACTCCTTCGAGTCACTCTTGGTATCACTTTGCTTTCCGTGATCACCGCCACCAACCGCTTCACTCTTGGTGCTAACAATTGCTGCCACTTGCCTCCCCTTAGGCATGGGGACCACTGGGATTTGCCACATCTTATTGTAGATGTCCCTGTCCTCATGAAGGTCCCAAAGCTTCCGCTCACCAAGCCTCGCGGTATAGGTTTTGGATCCCTTGGAAGATGTGTCCATGCCGGCCTTTTGCAAACGCCACACAGAGATCAGGTCGGCTGCAAGGTTGGGCACCCAAAGCACGTTCTTGAAGCCCACCATCTTCCCATCAGCACCCTTGAACATGGCCTTGCCCATGCCTTTCACCTCTGCTCGCTGCCCCAAAGCCGATGTAACATGCTTGACTGGCGACGGTTCAAGTTCGGTGAGCAAGTCCGCACGAGGTGTCATGCTATAGGTGGCGCCGCTATCGATCACCCAAAAGTCCAGAGGGTGGAGGGTGACCTTTCACACAGTAGCTGGCTCCTCAAAGCCTTCCACAGCTCCCGCTGCTGCTGCCGCTTGCATGGAGACAAAGAAGAATTGGCCCGGGTATCGATCTTCACTCGGGTCCGTCTCGTAGTCTTCACCTTTCATGCTTGCCGCTTCTCTTCCACGACCACCACGGCCTCCACGACCTCTGCCTCTTCCTCCCCTTGCTCCTCTGCCCTCTTGGCCTTGAGAAGGGGTCCAGTCATTAGGCAATTTGAAGCAATCTCTCCACATGTGGCCGGTCTTGTGGCAAAAGTGACATTCGCCATCATATCGACCGCGCCCACGCCCGTAGCCATTGTTGTTGTTGTTGCTGCCATATCCTCCATTACCATGGCCTCCATTGAAGTAGCTGCTGCCAAATCTGCCTCGTTGCCCTCTGCCCCTTCCACGGCAGTGCCCACGGCCCATGCTTGCAACTCCGGCACCATCGGGACCCGCCAATTCACGACGGCGGAAATTTTCTTGTAAGATTTCCCGCTTCACATCTTCGAGCGAGAGGCGGGGCAGATCTCGATTTAGGTTGATGATGAGTGAGGACCATGAGTCTGGAAGTAAGGCCAGCAGCTTGGTCTTCTTTTGCAGATCACTGTAGTTCAGGTCAGCTCCTTCGAGCCGCGTCAACAAGTCGAAGAATTTCTGCACTCCTTCCTCCACTGGTTTGTCTTCGTCAATTCGAAGTGCCACCATTTGCCGCTCCAAGACCACAGCCACCGCCGCTGTTGCAGGAGCGTGTACACCCTTGAGAGCAGCCCATGCCTTTGGTCCCTTTGCTGGTTCACGCTGAAAAGGCTTGATGTGATGGATTTGGCTGCTCCCCAACGCTTGCCCAAGTAGAAGATAGCCTTGTGCGCTCTTCCGCACCCACGGGCTCTTCTCCGGGTCATTCTCGGGGCGCTTCTCCGTTCTTTCCATCACCTCCAGCAGATCATAGTGGTCAAATATGTTCTCCATCTTGAAGGACCACTCAGCAGAGTTGTCACCATTGAACTTGTCAAGGCCAAACATTCTAGGCTCATCCCTAGAGGGGCAAAGGCTAGGTTGCACGGGAGCAATGGGTGGATCTTGGTGTTGACCTTGCGCTTGGGCATCTTCTCTGCTACCAGCACCTCTGCCACCCCCTTCCTCAGGTCTAGGCATGGTCGAGACGGCTCCAAGGGGCTCTGATACCACTTGTTATAATCACAATAGGCTCAGATGTGCCTAAAATGAGAGATAGAGAGCATAGTCGGATTTCCGTCAGACGGCTTCAAATATTGATAGCGATCTGATCTGTGATTTAAACGGTCATTTGTAAATTGGATATAGAGCGCGCTGCTGTCGCCTATCAGCAGCAAGTCGAGTCATGAAATTCCATGAAGATTTGACGACGCTATGGCGGTTTGACTGGCAGGAGGTACAGCAGCCACTATAGTCTTAGAAGTACAAACTTAGCAAGACACATTGTGATACACCATTCAAACACACACACAAGCACTAGATAGCAATGACATAGACTCACAAGTCATTCCATGCCATGCATGCACATACACAAACTTGGACGACAAGCAGAGTGCAAGCCATAGGGTTGCACGAACAGTAGAGGCCGTGAACCATCTCTATCTCGAATTCTTCTTGCTAAGTTTGTACTTCTAATACTAGTGGCTTCTATACCTCCTGCCAGTCGAACCGCTTAAGCGTCGTCAAATCTTGGTGAAATTTCATGATTCAATTGGCTCATGATAGGCAACAAGAACGAGTTCCAGATACAATTTAGAGAGCACCTTTTGAACCACAAATCAGAACGGTATTTATATTTGAAGCCGTCTGACGGAAATCTGACTGTGCACTCTATGTCTCATTTTAGGCACATCTGAGCCTAGTTTGTTTATAACAGCGGGCGCTCAGGGGAGGGAAGGCCCAGAAGACAAAGTGCGGACACAGGCAGCTACTTCTGCTGCCACTCCACGCCGACACCAGAACCTCCAGCTGTACCACGACTACCTTTGGGACGCTCCACGACATCATCGAAAGAACGAGAACCCTCTCCAGCACCGGTACCACACCCTGGACCACCGAGACAAGCCACGACAGTACCCTCAGGACTAGCACCCCCAAAACCAGCACCCCAAGAACGAGAACCCTCTCCAGCACTGGTGCCACCCCCAAGACCATTGGGACAAGCCACGACAGTACCCGCAGGACTAGCACCCTCCTCAACGCCCGTACCCACGAAGCTCGCGGACCCCTGCGGCTGTAGTGGCTGCCGCGGGGATGACTATGACTGCTGCTACGGCTGCGACGGCGGCGACTGTGGCTGCTGCTTTGGCAGCAACGGCGGCTGCTGCTGCGGCAGCAGAGGAGGAGACACCTCGGCGGAGACAGGCAGCGAAACCAGCGCCGTAAGGCCCCCAGAGTCAGCCAACTCCTCCACCGGGTCAACTGATGGGAGCAGAGTGACGTGAGACACACCAGACGGGGCAAGACGGGGAGGGAGAGGAGCAGGGGCTACCGGGGGAGTAGGGATGAGAAACAGGGGGGGGGGGGGGTAACTGGAAGACCTCGGTGGGGAAAGAGGGTATAGTAGGAAACTGGCTCGTCAAAAGTGACGTCACGAGAGTGAAAGAAACGGTGGTAAAGTTGCCAGTCAGACCGTCTAGGGGGAAACCAAGGAAGACACAAGGGATGGTGCGCGCAGTGAGCTTTTCCATGCCAGAGGCACGAACGTGAGCAAGGCAGCTAAAGACGTGGAGTGCAGACGCGTCACTAAGGGATCCGGTCCAGAGGAGGGTCGGTGAAACCTTCGGCCACTAGGAGTGTGGCCATAGGTTAAGAGGAGCTCCTAGAGGAAGCCGGGGGTCTACAAGAAGCTGCAAAAACCCCAAACTCCTCCTTCGGATGCATCTAGCTCAGCAACTTCTGCATCAACGATGCACACAGTCGTCAAGGAAACTCTGGGCCCTGGAGAAGAGCCTTCCTTCAAGCAACCTCGGCCAGCTGCTAGCTCAGGAGTAGGAAGCAACGAAAAGGTGTGTACGGAACATTGGGTTGTACCCTATGATCCCATCAATGAAACTATCTTTGGGTACTCCGAGCAACGCCTGCCCCTCATGCTCGAGGTCATCTGCAAAGATCGATGCCTCCAAGAACTCGTGGACAACGGAGCATCACACACTGTCTGTGACAGGGCAACAATCGACCAACTTCGAGAAGAGTACAAGCCTTCAGCATTCTCTGCAACGATGGTGGATGGGAGCAAGTTACCAGTCTACGGCGAATCAGTGTTACACCTACAAATCGGATCATTGCGCTCGAGACCTGCACTCCCCATCACCAACGTAAAATGGCTTGACCTGATCTTGGGGCGAGACTTCATCAAGAAATTCAATCCCGAGATCAACTGGGTGAACCGTACTGCAAGCATATACAACGATAAGAGGAGAGTCCAGCTACCCAACTAGGACGATACAAGAGACATCGCAGTGGAGACACTCGCCAGTTTCAAGAAGGACGTGAAACGAACCAACACCAGGTTCCTGGCGATAGCAACAGACATGGAAAGGGACGGAGAGAAGGCCCCGGAACCTATTGAGAAAATCGAATAATTACTAAAGGAGTTCCAAAACATCCTTCCCGACGACATTCGAGACGAGCTACCGCCATACTGAATGCACCAACAAGAGATCGTGGAGGAACCAGGTTCGAAGTCGACCTTCCGAGCACCATATCGCCTCAGCCCCATAGAACTAGCTGACATGAAAAAACTGATCGAGTATCTCCTCACCAAAGGACTCATCCGACCATCCACTTCGCCATACGGTGCCCCAGTACTCTTCACACCGAAACCGGACGGAAGCCTACGCATGTGCATTGACTACCGAGTTCTCAACAAGCAGACCATCAAGAACAAATACCCGATTCCACGAATCGATAACATGCTTGACAAGCTTCGAGGAGCCACGGTATTTTTGAAACTAGATCTGCGGTTCGGATACCGGCAGATAAAAATGGCGGACGATTCTGTTCACAAAACTGCCTTCTGAACTCGGTACGGGTCGTACGAGTATCTGGTAATGCCATTCGGACTCACCAACGCACCGGCGACGTTCCAAGCAGAAATGAACCACATTCTACGACCACTCTTGGATGAATGCGTGGTGGTGTACCTCGACAATATCCTTGTCTACTCGCGCGACATGAGACAGCATGTCGAACACCTGCGACGCGTCTTCAAAATTCTTCGACGATTACGATTCTACGTCAAGCTGTCCAAGTGCGATTTCGCTCTCGCGAAGGTCCAATTCCTCGGACATATAGTGAGCGCTCAAGGAGTTCACGTCGACCCCAAGAAAATCGAAGCCGTCCGTACGTGGAAGGCACCCGAGAATGTGAAGGAGTTGCAGCAGTTCCTAGGCTTCGTCAACTACTATAACAGATTCGTGCCACAGTACGCAAAAATTGCCGCGCTGCTCACGAATCTGCTGAAGAAGAACACACCCTATACATGGGAACCAAAACACCAAGAAGCCGTGGAGCAGCTGAAACATGCACTCACGTCCGCACCCGTACTCATCCTTCCAGACCCCAAACGCAACTACGTCATCGAAGCCGACGCCAACGACCAAGCAGTGGGAGCAGTCTTGATGACCAAGGGAGTGGACTGCAACCAATTGCCTACCTCAGCAAGAAATTACACGGGGCAGAACTAAACTACCTGATACATGACAAGGAAGCCCTGGCTATTATCATCGCCTTCTAAACGTGTAGATGCTATCTCGAAGGACGAAATACCACCGTCTACACTGACCACTGCAGCCTAAAATATTTGAAGACACAACCAAACCTCTCCATGCGGCAGGTCTGGTGGATTGAATTTCTTGAGACGCACTTCCACTATGACATCGTGTACAAGCCTGGTCACAATAACAAAGCAGATGCTCTCAGCCAGTCTGCACACGTTGCCGCCATCCAGGTCAAAGGGATGAACCCACTACTCAAGGGACTCTTCACACACGGGTACACCATCGGCCCCGAAATTCCCTTGGCGGAAAATCGACACCTGCTACAGTGGGACAGTGACATTACGTACCGAAAGGATCAACGAAGATCTGAGTACGAAATTACCCTCCTTTGCACCAGTTACTACTCAAAGAATACCAAGATGTCCTATACGCAGGACACTTCGGTAGCAACAAAACGCTCATCGGTATTGCAAAGCACTACTACTGGCCTGACATGGTAGACGACGATAAAAAATACATCACCTCATGCGACACCTGTCAGTAGATGAAGAGCAGCAGACAAAAGAATGTTGGACTACTATAGTCTCTCTCTGTCCCAGAACAGCCATGGCAAGGGGTAAGCCTAGACTTCATCACCGGGTTACCAACTACCACAACCGGCCATGACGCGATCCTCGTCATCATTGACAAATTCTCTAAAATGGGACACTTCATCCCAACACACACGACAGCCCGCACGGAGGAGACCGCACAGCTATTTGTTCGGCACATCATCTCACAACACGGCATTCCAACCACACTCATCTCCGACTGAGACCCCAAGTTCACCAGCAAGTTTGGAAGGAAATAATGTCTCTGCTCAGGACCAAACTCGCCATCTCCAAATGGGACTTGCACCTACCCGTCTTGGAGTTTGCCTACAACAACGCTACTCACGCTGCTACTGGAAAGACGCCGTTCTTCCTCTATTATGGACACCACCTGCTCACGCCACAGCAACCGACCGTCTCCGCCACAGTCGAACCAGCACACGACTTCATCACAACCATGTACCAGCTTTGGGATCGGACCCACAAGCGCCTTCTCAACATTCAGCAACAACAAAAGCGCAAGGCTGATAGCCACCGTAAGGACCATGCTATCGCCGTGGGGGGCCGAGTTCTGCTCGACACCCGCCATCTCGACATCAGCCATTTGCTGTCCAAATTGCGACCTCGCTTCTGCGGGCCTTTCCTCCTTGAAGCATGGGTCACTCCTGTTACCTGGAAGATTCACAACGCCTTCCATGTCCAACTCTTGAAGCCATACCGAGATCCCAACATGATCTTCACCGGACGCCAACCGCCGCCGCCGCCGCCCGTCCTCATTCATGATGATCCCGAGTACGAGGTCGAGTCCGTGCTTGCCCACCGCCATCATCGGAATGGCACCGTGGAGCTTCTCATCTGTTGCAAGGGTTATGATCCTTCTGAGGATAGCTGGGTCCCTGAATCCGATATGGATCACGCTCATCGTCCTCTTTCTGACTAGGTTGTCAAGCAGGGTGTTACTTCTACCACCCAGCTTTGAGGGGGGGAAGGGTGAGAGTACCACCCCGTTCCATTTCCATATTCCTCATTCTCCCTTTTCCTGTTATCTCATTTCATTTGGGTTCCTATTCCTCATTTTCCATTATCCTTTGGTTTATCCTATTATTATAATTATATCACCGACCAGGCTCGGGATGTACTGGCGCACTCTATCTAGCGTAATCCTGCCATAATCCCTTTCAACCAATAGCCTTGTGTGGCTATACGCAGGGTAATTCTATTTCTAGAAGGGTCTATTCCCTTTGGATAGGATAAACCTGGTTACGCGATGTACTCTAGAAGTATAAAAGCACCTTGTATCAATCGATAGTGCAACTTTTCCTCGACACATTCGATCCTGTGATAGGCAGGGTGTACGACTGGGTGATGCCCTCCGCACCACAGAACTTGCCAAGCCGACCGGAGGCAAACTCGCCGCCATGGTCGAAGTGAAGATGCAGCAAAGGGAGGGCACGGTGGACTCGCCCAGATACAACCCACAGGATAAGATTGTCAGGCACGTCGGCCTTCCGCTCCAGGGGAATCACTGTGGTGTAGCGCGTGAAGTAGTCGACAAGCACTAGAAAGTAGCACGCTTGACTCAGCCCAAGGACATGGGCTGGGCTCCAGACGTTTAGGTGCAGGGTCGAGAGTGGCGCAGATGTAGGGGGAAGCGAGAAGGAGTGAGGAGCATGGCGCAGCCAGCCCTCGACGCAGGGCATGCACAGCGGCGCAGGTGAGGGAGGGAAAGCGGGGAGCGACACAGGGAGACCTAAAACAATTCTGTGCTGGGACATGTGATGCAGACGCGGGAGGGCGGGGTGACCTAGGTGGTGGTGCCACATTTGCGACCGATACGAGAAAGCCGCAGCGAACTGGGTAGACGCATGCACCTGGGGGTGCGATGTCAATACTAAACAAGCCAGACACCGGGTCCCGAGGGACCAATGGCGGCCTCGGTACAGACCGCGTACCGCTCGTGTCTAGGGAACGTAATGGTGACGCCAACGTCCTGAAGACAGCTGACACCAACTAGGTTCATGGAGAACGAGGGGATGTGCAGGCCTGTAACAGAGCCCGAGGGAACCGCCGAACAGGGAAGGGTGGTGGAGCTACGGGCAACTACCGGACCTGAGGAGGGGCCAGCAAGCACGACTGCGGCAGGGGCGACAAGCGGCGTGAGCGCAGTTTGGTCATGGAAGAGGCAAGCAAACGCTCCAGAGTCAAGCGTGAAAGGGAGCAAAGAAGTAGCATCAGCCGGTGTAGGGGCTAGCGTGGATCCTAGGCTAAACAAAGAAGAAGGTCCTACGCCTGACGCAGCAGGGGAGCCTTGATTATACACAGGAGGCACACCTACACTATGCAGCATAGGGTAATAAGGTCCAATCACTCTAGAGTCATCAGCATACAAGGCATGCAAGGCAGAGAAAATCTGATCCATATCTATCTCAAAGACCGAAACACGGCAGCGTACTGGACTGGGCCATTCGGGGAGGTCCGGCGCAGGGCCAAAGCGGAGACGGAAGAGGTCGTCGAGGTGGCGGAAGCAGCGGGTGGCAGTGTGACTGGGACGGCCACACACTATGTTACAGAAGGGGCTAGTCTGGAGCTGGTACTGGCAACCCACTAAGCTGAAGCTGGCCACTCGACGGCAAGCTGCAAGGGCCGCCACCGCGGCCACCTCCACCTGAGGCACCGGGCCATAGCTGCGGCTGTTGGTGCTGCTACGGCGATTGCTCCTGCTGTGACTGCTGTTGCTGGTGCTACTGCTGCAAGTGCTGCTGCTCCAGGGGATCAGCCCCGGTCCCCTCGTCGGCACCACCGGCACTCGCACCACCTCCGCCACCCCCACTACCCCGCCCTCCGCCACGCCCCCCCTTGGGGCGGCGGCCCTTTCCCTGACGAGGCTGCGCTGAGGTTGTTGCGGCAATGGTCTCAGCAGCAGGGACCGTCTTAGCAACAGCAGCAAAAACGTCAGAGTAAGTGCAGAGGGAGGGAGCACAACCCTGGAAGATATTGAACGGCGCAGTACCACTAGACTGGGCGATAGTGCGCTGGCGAGTCTCTATTGCAGACAGGGTGGTGACAAAGGCAGTAAGGGTGAGATCATCTGGGTGCTGACTAAGGAAGTGGTCGCGGGCAGTGGCGAGGCGGTCAGGAAGGCGCGTGGCAATGAGGTAAAGGGTAGCGCAAAGGGGAGGAGGGAATGTAGCGAGCAAGGGCTAGGTGCTAGCAGCGTGATAGTCTCAAGGGAGTGCAGATGAGTGGCAAGATCAGCGACAGTAGGGAAGGATACAAGATCAGGGAATAGGATGGGCAGGATTAGACGGCCGACAGAGGCGGAGGAGGGAGTGGAATAGCGCGCAATGACTGCAGCTAAGTACTCCTTCGCATTTGCTACAGCCGTGAAGCGGGGACGCTTAGATAGGAGGAGGGCGTGACTGATAGCAAGCTGCGCTACGGCGTCGCCCGACTCCAAGACAGCGCCCGCAAGCTCAACAGTGGCAAAGGCCTCATGCTCAGCAAGGGTGAGGGCGTCAGAGAAGGCGGCAGGCACATCAGGGCGGAGGAGCTTACCGTTGACATGGACGGCCAGAGAATTGCCGTCCTGGCGCTGACCCATCAGCTGATGGCGAAGGTTGACGAGCCACGTCTCAAGGTCGATCGCTTGACCCACCGTGTCTAGGCAAAGCACAACGTGCGCCATCACCACGACCGCAGCGGAGGATGGCGACACGGCGATCCAGCGACACGGTGACGCAGGAGAGTATTATCATGCCACGAGGTATTGCAAGCGGAATTATTTTCATATCGCCCCAAATTTTCCATGCTTTAGGACCCGCATCAGAAATATGGTCATCGCAAAACCGCGCGCGTGACGGCTTTTACGACTGATTTCTCACAGCAATCATGTCCTTTTGGTGGTCGGGTCAGAAAAGTTTTGGCTCAAACATAATTTTGATGGCAGGGTGGCAAGTTGCATGTTTGGTGTCAGAAAATATCCGCCACTCCTCATCAGTGTTTCTGCTGAGGCTCAAACCAGCCTGGTTCTCACACGCGTCACATCACAGTTGTCGCGCGTTCCTCTGACCCCATGCTCTCGCTGCTACCAAGTTTGTGGTGAGCATCTGAACTACGAAAACGTGGTGAATCAGGGGATCAGCTTTGCACAATGTGATGTCGTGGGACACGGTGGTGGCGCTTGAGCGCTAAGCTTTTCTAGCTCTAAAGTGTAAGTGGAAAAAAACCCTAAACTCTATAAATGCATAACCGATGGTAATGTTTAGGGGTTCTGGTAGCTACGTACACGGTTTACAGAACTTGGAGAACTAACCAAACTCATGCGGCCACACATTGTCACAGACCTATATTTAAGGGTCCGTGGTTATCTGGCACACATCACCGCATAGCCATCTGAAAGTCTG